CCTTAACATTACTTTCCAGTTCTTTTTTGTCGTTATTCATCCTTTTTATATCTTCTTACATTTCTTGACGTAGTATGTTCTTTGAACTTCCTTGTTTCCGTTTCCTTTCAGGATTCTAAAATAACGCATTCTTCCTGATGTAGTTTGGTGATTTCCATAATGTGTATCCTATCCACATCCAACGTCTTTTCCTAATTTTCTCTTCAATTAAAAGCTAGTTTGTCATTTCTCACAGTAGACTGTTGCTGATTGATTCCAGTCAATGAACATTGAATATCTTGTGTAGACAAATGTTTATAAAAACTTGTACCTTTTTGATTATGATTGTCGTGGTCCTCAAAGTTTCAGCCCCGTACAGTAGAATTAACTGTCTTCACATTCGTATTGAAGATTGTAACTTTGACATTGGTTGAGTTCCATATGTTGATCAACTTTAGGAATGCGGCCGTCGCTTAGCCAATCCTCGCCTTTACGTCTGCATCCAATCCTTCTTGTTCATCGGTGATACACCATAAGTATGTGAAAGATTCCACTACTTCCAGAGCTTCTCCATCAAGTGTGATTGATTTAGTGTACTCCATGTTGTATTTGAGGATCTTACCTTTTCTTTTGTGTATGTTGAGGCCAACCAATGCAGAAGCTGTTGCTACACTAGTTGTCTTCATCTGCATTTGTTGGTGTGCATGGGATAGAAAGGCCAGATCATCTGTAAATTTCAAATCATCTGGTTGCATCCAACCTGTACACTTTATTTTTGGGCATCTCGTCAGATAAGAAGGTCTTCATAAAGCAGCCAACCACCAGAAGAAAGAGAAAGAAGGGGAGTAAGCAGCCCTTTCTGACACCTGTCCTTACTTGGAATGCATCTTTCAGCTGTCCTCCATGCACGACTTTGCACTGTAGTCCATCGTATGAGTTCCCGACAATTTTTACAGTCAGGTGTCAGTGTCGGAGAAGTTCCCGTAATGTCCTCCTGTCCACACTGTCAAACGCCTTCTCATAGTCAATAAACTTGATGTATAGTGACGAGTTCTATTCAACTGATTGTTCAACAATGATCCGTAGTGTCGCGGTTTGATCTGTTCACAACCGATTCTCACAGAATCCTTCCTGGGCGTCTACTGCATCTTTTATCCGGTTTAGCAACAATAATCCTATAAACAGTTTATTATGGCTTACATAATTCTAGTAACCAAATCCACTGAAAGCTTAGGAAGATCTAGACATAAGACAGTGACATCAAAGAATCATGTTTGAAAATCGTTATTCAGTTTAACATTATTACGGCATCAAATGACCTATTATTTCGTGGACTACAAATAAAGTTTTCCTTCTTTGAATGCCTAACCTTTGTTTTATATTTTAATTGAAATCGGTTTACGTCTGTTAGTGATTGACATGATCTTCAGATAAAAATGTTATCAATATTTTATTGATTATCATACAGAAACTAGTCAACTAACTAAGGTTTCAGGCACAAACTATTAGATTTTAGCTTAAGATGAAACTGAACAGTAGCTAAGACTGATAGCCAAGACGTCCTATTTGGAACTTATCCGATGAATATGCCTTTCACTCAAGTTCTTGTCGACACTCAAATTCAAAATCATCTAAAGATTCAAACAACCCTTCAAATGAATTGAAATCCACACCTTTGTGTAAACTAGTGACTGTCTGGACTTAGTAACTAACTAGATAACGTGATGACATTCAGAGTGAGAGTATTGTAGTTAAATCTTGATGTAAAACGATCAACAATACTATGCTGATACATCCAGCTGACGAGTTCAAAATGAGACGAAATTCATGTCTTGGATTCCGCTGCTAGCCCCTATCTGACTCCATTTATGAATTTGATAAGGTTTAATGGTAGATCTTTAGCAATGCGAGCACAGAATACAACGCGCAATAGAGTGAATTCCTTTTATTTCACCTACATCAAAATCTTTCAAATATGGTAGACAGAATGATTTTTAATCGTAACGAACTTGAATTTGTCATAACAATAGTGATAATAATGGTAATAATTGCTGAAGAAGCTAAGAGAAGTACTTGGATAAGTAAACTGATAACATGTCAGATGTTCTATTTAAATGCTGAGACAAGTTCTAATAACTACAAATTATAAATAAACATGTCAATCTTAGTCATATTTTCATTCGTACATGCTATATATACTCGATTAGGTCACGGACACATAAATATTGATACAAAAGGGTACCAATTACATATGCGCCATACAAATCACTTGATTCATGTGTGGGATGTGATACTGCCCGAGTACCTAGACCGAAGCAAGTGGTTTACTTAGGAAGCCATACCCCCAGCCATCGACTTAAAGGTCTGATCTATAAGGCAGTGAAGCAACGTCAATAGATGCAGTCCCATGGTAGCCAGTGACCAACAATTGGTTCATACGCCAAATGTTCCTTCAGGATCCTGGATCCAATGTGCACCATTGGTTTGGAATGAGGGCTATCCAACTCCTTTAGGTCGACCTTCCATATCCACCAACCTGGTTTAGGGTCCTGCCGGACATTTGCTTTTCGTCCTCTCAGTTTCGTAAATAACAGTAATGCCACGAGAAAACAGTTAGTAGGACTTCTCTAGTGATGGCTGTATGCACGTAGCCATGTGAGAGCATTTGTAGAAGTTGAACTTGTAGGGCCAACGAAATGTCACTAAGCCCTAGCCAAATCATCCGGCAGTTGGGTCATTGAATATCGAGCAAATCATCGATCCTCGTCAAGGTCAGGGACAACCAACGCACATCAATTGATCGTATGCCATGGACTGGCCCATGCGGCAGTGGTCTTACTTTCGCTTGTATCTACTTTAACTAATATATTTCTGTAATAACGTCCTCTGTGTTGTACAGTCTTCAAAGCATCTATGGTACCTTGATACTTCAATGGAGTAGTCCACATAAGGTGCTGACTACGAGGTGTGACTTCGACGTCAGCTAGTTTGTCACACCATTCCCGTCAAATTCGAGTAGGTCTCCAATCATTTCAACATAGATCATCTACGTTGGTGATTTACAAGCTAACTCTCCCTACCCTCGACTGTACCAGAGCATTTGTGATATGGAAAGTACATAGTAATTCATTCTTCTTTTTTGACACGAAAATTATATTTTTTTAAAAACCTTCTATACATTTGTATCTACACAACAACCAACCGTATGAAACAATCAAATTACATGAAATGAAATGAATTCACTTAATCCTACAATGTTCATTGTTCATGCTTAGTAGACATTTACCAAAAGAATTGATTACATAATAAGTTTTTTGTTGTTGTTGTTGTTGATGATGATGATAATTGAATAGAGTAAAAAGCTGATGAATATCTAAATGAATCTATTCATATCAATAACTGTGATTCTATATGGAAAACGGATAGGTGTCTGCGAATATTGATTAGATTTATTGATTTCATTGAACACGAAATGATCATAGGAAGATTGAGGATACAGTAGAGCGTTCATTTTATAAAATATGGTGTAATATTAACTTGATCAGAGCCTTAATACGGGACTCTCTAATGAATGTACACCCACAACCTATAATCTCAAGGGATCGAACTCAAGGCAGTCAGTTTTGTGTTGAACGGCTTCACCTCTAGACCACTGAGTTGTTATCCAGTAGTGCACATGTCTAAATTCAACCAATTCACCGTATTATTTAAGTATCTTAAATTAACTATGGTGAATACCTGTCACACTCCAGACAGAAGGTCTTGGGTTTGATCCTCTGTGATAGAGCTGTGATTGCATACTGTCACTGAGATGTCTAATACTAGAACAATACAGTAGTCTAGTGCTACAAGTTTTCATTGTCGATCTATTTAAGATAAATTTATGACTGGTAGTATGAAAATAAAATTTAGTGAATGTTAAAAAACATATGCTCACTAGTGACTGGCTTCACGAAGTGAGAAGTAGTGACCAGTGGAGTTCAACCAGGTCTGTTGTGAGATAGTAACTCACTGAAGACAATGGTGGATGTGTCGCTCAATTTCGTGGATTAGTTGAAGTTAGAGATTAACATCGTTGGATGCCTGCTCAGTGGTTTTGTGGTTAAGTGCTTGCGCGTGAAATCAGTAGGTCCTTAGTCCGAATCTCTCAGGGGGGGGGCGAGGCCATGGATGCTCACTGCTGAGGAGTCCCATACTAGGACGAAACGGCCATCCAGTGCTTCCAGGTTTTCCATGGTGTTCTAGCTTCAACTGACTCATGATCTTAACCATTGAAAAAAATACTTCGCTTTTTAAGACCAATGGCGTCTAAATTAATTAGCAAACAATACGGAAGTTGAAATACAGATTTGGGATGTCAGTCAGTCACATGATTTGGAGTCAACCAAAAATTAAATAAACACCAGTCAACCAGGCATGTTTAGTGTTGTGAATGGATAATGATACATGAATGTAGATTAGATCCAGTCATCAATAGAATGAAATATACATTCTAAATCCTTACACTGTTCATTCAAAATGATTAATATTCACAATATGAAACTTGAAATAGTCTATTACATATGTAGTTTAACCAACTTAATCAAAATTGATGGAGAAACTCTGGAAGATGTGGAATCTTTCATGTACCATTGATGAACGAAGAGGATCTGATACAGACGTAAAGACGAGAATTGGTAATGCAAGGACCACATTTATACAGTTGAAGAACATAGACAATTAAAAACAATCGTCTATTAATCAATATCCAAGTCAAAATCTTTAATATGAACGTCAAAATAGTTCGAAAAGAGAATGGTGGTGTGTAGCCTATACTTTTCCACGTGGAGATTTTAGAAATTTCACTGGTTGAAATCATGAGTCAATTGAAGCTAGACCACCATGGAAAATCTGGAAGCACTGGATGACCGTTTCGTCCTAGTATGAGACTCCTCAGTAGTGTGCATCCACGACCGGCATTCAACGATGTTAATATATATTCTTTTCAAAAACAATAATAATCAATACTATCATTTACTTACTTCATGTATTTCACGTTTATAATTTGATCTTTTCTGTGTTGATTTTAATTTACATGTATAGCAACAACTAGTTTTACAATGATCCGGATCACTTATTGATTGTTTATTCCGTTTAGGCATATGTTTATCAATAGTATTATAGATTATTATTATTATTACTTTACTTGATTGAAACTAACATAACATAAAGGCAAATATAGATTTAAAAGAAAAAAAATAGAAAAAAAAACATTTCTCCGATCAATTTCAAAGAAAAAAAAAACAATCATGGTATGACGTAATCTATTAGTTTCCATGTTCAATCATCAATGTTTCATATCACGAATAGCATAGATACAATTTTGTCGTTGTTGTTGTTGTTGTTGCTGTGATGGGAAATATTCAAATCTAATTAATCGATTATATTCCAAAATATAAGTTGAGGAATAAAAATGAAATATGTTGGATAAATCAATGAAAAACATTTGAGCCCAACAGTATTTCAGTTTGTTTGTTTGTTTGTTTTACTATGACATAAACATTTTACGGATGAAACAAGATTGTTGTTATGATTAATTCATGATTATAGTATGATAAATAAATGAGCGTTTGTTACTATGCAGATATATATATATATATTTATATAAATCTATAATCCAATAAGCTGAAAAGAATATGAAAATAGGATTGGTGCGTGTTTATTTTGTTTGTTGTTTTTTTTCTTGTTTTTTTCTTTTTTTGTGTTTTTTTTCGATAACCTTGAAATCGAATAGCTATTCCCGCTTTTTGTTCAAGGTCATATGAAACAATTTTCTATAACCAATCAGTGTTTAATGATGGAGTAAAATCATGAATAGTCAGGCAAAACTAGACAGTGGACTAGTAATCATAATCATAATAATAATAATTCACATGCAAATCTAGTTGCAACAAGGTTGTTTCTATCTTCTCTTGTTTTTGTTTTTTTTTGTTGGCTCCTGGAAACAAAATGTGGTTGATTTAAACATTGAATATTTTGCATAACTAAAATGTAAAATGAAATGGTTAGTCTGTTGTGTGGTTGTTTGTTTGTTTGTTTGTTTTAAATGGAGTCAAACATAATAATAGATATTCATGAAATATGATCCATAAAAGGTGGGTTTTCTGAAGATTATAGTATTTTAATAGTTGAATTCGCCACGGAATACCTGGAAGTACTAGATGGTCATTTCGTCCAGGTATGAAATTCCTCAACAATGTACATCCACAATCTCGCATCCAAGAATCGAACCTAGGATCTTCTGTTTCATGGGAGAAACTTTAACCTTCAGACTGCTGAATTATTAAAAGGGGTATTTCGTGGATATCATAGTAGTTTCATTAGTTGAAATCATAAGGTAATTGAAGTTAGACCACAATGGAATACCTGAAAGCACTGGATAGTCATCATTATGGGTCCAATGATCCAAGCAAGCGATAGAGCAAACTTATGATAAAGGTGACTTATTCATTATTACCTCATAAAAAAACTAGTAATGTTTTCTGTAAGATAGTCATTACAACTGGAATGTTAAAGTTTACATCATTGATTGGTATTTGTTAGTTCCAGACATAAATAGTGACAAGTGTGGTTCTATCATATAGAGATGGTTGAGAAGATTTGTACTTCAGATGGATGAGTTTGATTAAGTTTTGTTCTTCGAACTGGATAGTTTGGTCGTGAAGTTTTCATCGTTTTACTGAACGACACTATCAGCACAAACTTCAGCTAGAAGTGAAGTGTTCGAATTTCTCCACATGTAGTTCATAGCTTGTCCTGCTGAGCCATCCTTTCCCAATGATAGTTTCTTTATCTATTTACATGATGAATATTTAGGGCATTAGCAATCAAACAATTATTAGTTAGCCTGTCACCATGCCCACCTGAAGTTTATAATCAGTATTATTGTGATTATTTCCATCACTGAGTAAAATAAGTATACATATTCGTGATTGTACAGCTTTGAACATGAATTTACCGAAAAGAGTACACTTCACTTAATCATTGTCAGAAACAGACTATAGTTTCAATTCATTTAGTATTATTTGCTTATATCTTCCCATTATTGTTTAAGACTAAAACTGATCAATCTCTTAATGGCATATGTGCATACTGTGCGTTTTGCCTCGATATAGTGTTAATTCACAAGCATTCTAAACAAAGATGGATAGTGGCTAACAGTGGAACCTAGTTTGACGCGCGTTTCGTCCCAATTGTGACTCATCAGCTGGATATAGCTACATCCCAGACATGTTGATATTCATTCTGGGACTCGAACTCATCCACTTAGCTACTGAATCCAGATTGTCACCTCCTTATGCAATAGATTAAAATTGAAATTCGCTTGGTATTATCATCTATCTTTACTTATAAAGACTACAATTCAATTTAGATTTTCATATAAACTTATTGATTATCATAACAGTAGACAAACACTAATCAAACCAGTCGTCATCATGAATATTACGGACAAAGTCAAATATTTTTAAGATCTAGACAATGTTAATTAAGTAATTCCTTAATTATTTAATGATGTAAGTTTATCTATGAAACATCATTTATGTTACCATCATCGATAAGATCTAAATTAAAAACAATAAAATCAATAAATAATTTGATCATTCATATTGAAAGCATAATGATATGTGATTATTATTAGCCATGTATAAAATAACTCCACCTGTAACTCTTGCATAGTTACTGCCGATCTCAAGCCCGAGTAAAGGAGAAGGGCTGGGTATGGGGTTAGCCACCTCTTTCCGTAGAAAATTGACTCACTTTTTAGCGATAATTCACCGATTCCGACCACCTTCAAGTTGCATCTTCACATTTCTGAAGTTATTTGGAAGACTAGACCGATCTGTCACATTGTACGAGCATTCCATTTATCTAATTAAATGGTTGCTCTGGTTGTCAGAATTATAATAATAATAATTGCTCTAATGAAATCATCCATAGTATTATGTAATCTTGTAAGTAACAAGAAGAAATCTTGAAATTTATAGATTATTCTATTAATCCTATCATAGGTTACATGTGATCACGATGATGATGAAGTATCTTATTCGCTACAATGGTGCTCGCCGTAGGACTTGTCGATAGATGTTGCTGTCTATAGTCGTTGGAGAGCTTTTTTAGATGATATATATGTACATATATAGAAAGCCCCCAAATGTCGAAGAAATCCTGGAGGTGGGTTTAGTCCGTCCCCTCTCTACAAATGCTCTCACATGGCCACGCCTATACAGCCATCACCAGGTAGGTCCAACTCACTACCTTCTCGTGGCATTACTGTTATTTACGAACTTGGGAGGACGAAAAGCGAATGTCTGGCAGGACTCAAAACCGCGTTAGTGGACACGGAGGGCCCATCTAGAGGAATTGAAATATTCTCATTCCAAACCGATGCTGCAAATGGTCTCCAGGATCCTGAAGAAAAAATGGTGTATGAACCAATTGTTGTTCACTGGCTACCGTGGGACTGCATCTCCTGACCTTGCTTCACTGCAGCATCCATCCACCGACTGGAGGGATAAATGGCTAAACCTTTTGGATATAACAAACGTTGAAGACGTTAAGGTCAACTCACATCATAAAATAATATTCGATTTATCAAGAGGTGGAAGTTTTCGAAAGTTACTTACTTACTTCCTCCTGTTACTACCAATGGAGCATAGAACACCAACCAGCATTCTCCCATTCACTCTATTATGGGCCTTCCTTTCTACTTCTCTCCAATTGTTATTCATTCTTCTCATGTCTATCTCCATTTCTCGGCCTAATGTGTTCTTTGATCTTCCTCTCCTGCTTTGGCCTTGAGGATTACAAGTGAGGGCTTGCCTTGTGATTCAATTGTATGCCTTCCTCAGTCTGTGTCCTATCCGCCTCCACAGCTTCTTCCTGATTTCTTCCTCCGCTAGAAACTGCTTTGTTCTCTCTCACAGTAGTTTGTTGCTGATAGTGTCTGGCCAAAGAATCCGAAGTATTTTGCGTAGACAACTACTAATAAACACTTATATCTTGTGAATGATGGCTTTCGTAGTTCTTCACGTTTTCACCTCATACAGTATAACTGTCTTGTCATTTGTGTTGAAAATTCTGATCTTCGTGTTGGTTGACAGACAGTTAATTTGAATTCCAGATGTTCTTCAATTGTAAATATGCTCCTCTTGCTTTGCCGATACACGCCTTCACATCTGCATCAGATCTACCGTATTCATCAATGATGCTGCTCAGATATGTAAATGTTTTTACATCTTCCAAATCTTCTCCGTCAAGTGTGATTTGATTGATGCATGTTGTGTTATGTCGGAGAATCTTGCTTTTCCCTTTATGTATGTTGAGACCTATTGTTGCTGAGGCTGCTCCTACACTGAACGTCTTCCCCTGCTTTTGTTGCTGCGTGTGCCATAGAACAGCCAAATCATCTTCACGTCTTTCCGCATTCTATTAGTCCAGCTGCATCTTATCTGTCCATTATATCCCATGCACCCCCCCACGAAGATGTTGACTTCTTCATGATCCAATCGATCAACAGCAGTAAAAGAAAATTTAATATTGAAAAGTATAATGGTTTAAAATGAAGCTTTAACAAAAATCGAAACACACATAAAATCATTCACATTCCATTTATCATCCAAATTTCATTTTGTCTCTATGCCAATTCATTCATAGATTTGTTTATATAAATCATATGATCTTAGTTGAAAACTATCACTGAGTATTACACTTGTGATTACATAACCATATTGATTCATGTGAATGATGTTTACAAATTAGATTAGGTAGAATAATTAGTGAAGAATGTCTACTGTTGATTTATGTTAACTATTTTCAATTTTATAGTGGAATTTTATTCTAAAAAGACAGGCATAAAGAGAGGTATCTACTTCAGTACAATGGAAGATGGTTGCTCAATTTCGTGGATTGGTTGAGGTCAGACATTAACATCATTGGATGTCAGCTCAGTGGTCGAGTAAACTGAACGTTCGCGCGCGATACTGAAGGCTCTCGGTTCGAATCCCGCGAGCGGGGTCATGGATGCGCACTGATGAGGAGTCCAGCGATAGGACGAAACGACCGTCCAGTGCTTCTAGGTTTTCAGTGGTGGTCTAACAACAATCGGTTCATGATTTCAATCAAAAATATAATACTCTGCACAACCCCAATACTGATAAAAAGAAATCCACTGGTCAGATTGAAAGGCAAACTTAATGATGACTGTGGAAAACTTGAAATAACAACTTATTTGTCTATATACTGAAATTCATGTGAGAAATAATGACTGATAGAATTAGATCATTCACAATTAATTGATCATTGGGTAGGTGATCTATGTCATTTATGTCAGGTTCTTATTATTATAGATCGAATCCTATCGACCAAGTTGCAATGTTGATATGTACTATGTTGAGATAATATGATGGTCGGAGGTAGTCAACAGGAAACCCTGGACCCAAATTTCTTGCTATTTGACACTCGTCAGTAAGGTGCACCTGTCATCTTGAGGGAACGGATGCTCCTTGACGGATTCGATCCCATGTCACCCAGCTTCACAATCAGAGATCTTATTACTGGGCTATCCAAGGCGCGACTGACCTCCTATAGAATTGAGTTGTATTTTCAATTGATTGATCACTGGGTGGTGATCACTGTCAAGTCTATCAGGTCCTTAGACTATGTTAGAGGTGAGACAAGTTTTATCAGTTCCATCGGATAATGATTATTCAATGTAATGAGTCGGTTGAAGTTTTAAGGTAATGGTTGCGAACGTAATAGTCTAGTCTAAGTGTTCTCCAAAAGACATGAAAAGTTTGGGTCTGATCCCTGGTGTGTGTACCACTGAAGAGCTCCGTCCTAGAATCAAACAGTTTTCCAGTGTTTATAAGTATTCAATATTTGTCAAAGGCTATTTCATGGTGTGAATAATAATGTAGAAAGCTGAACATAAATATTTGTGGTACTACTTAAAAATCCATCTGGTGAAATCAATTAGAAAGGTATTTCAATCATCACATAACTCACCTTTATACCATCGGATGATAGATATTTTGTTATAATTGATTAGTTCTCTGTGTGTCTGAATTCAATCAACTGCTTCTCAAAAACTAGATATGTGAGTCGTTTGTCAAAATCGCTTCATTGTCATATCTGAGAGAATATTTCATAATGATTTAGCAATGGGAAATATCGATTACTTATATCTTTTGTTTTGCATTATGAAATAGACTCAAGCTTATCCATTGATGCCAATAACTAGATTTACATGAAGATTAAGAGAGATCTTTAGGTTACAGTTGATTCTGGCTGCACACGCGTGGAAGAGTGGACTCTTTCCATCATTTTAGGGTATGGTTGGGGGCTACCAGTTGGATCCAGGAGATGTGTTTTGCCCTGTCTAAGACTTGTCAGCTGAATGTACCTGCATCTCGAAATTATTCACTCCAGAAGTCGAACCCAGTACCGTTCGCTTCAGATGCCATCTTATTATTCACTTGGACATTATTGATCATAAGTTCATTGTTAGTCCTCAAACGCTTGAAATATTTACTCAGTAGTACGTGGTGTGTTTTTAAATCAGATCTCTCAATTAAATTTAGTGATTTAATAAACATCCAAATCCTCATGTTCATAAACCAATTTACTTAGATACTTACACCTGTTACCGTTCTTGTGTTCACCTATCAAGAATCTCTAGTCAAATCTATTATGACCTTTCATTTCCAATTATAACCAGGTTTCACTCATGATCTTGGTATCTACCTCTAGTTGCCGTTGCCATATGTTCTTTGATTCGTCTATTTACCTTTCACCTTGGAGATTTCAAGTTACAACTGACTATAAATTATATCCTATCGACCTCCAGAGTCTTTTCCTAATAACCTTAACTGGAAATTGGTCTATTCTTAGACGGAGAAGAATATTTCCGATAGTCTCTAGTCAATGGATCTGTAGTGAATTATATAGACAATTGTTTATTTATTCATATATTTTTTCAAATGTTGTTAGTAGTAGTTGTTGTCAAGGTTTCAGCAGGTCATGTAGCAGTTGAAAGATTGAAGTTTAACTTCATGATGCATTGGGAAAACTGACTAAATAAGACTGATAGCCTTATGAAAATGCAAAGAACTTCAGGTCTTTAGTATAAAAGGATACTGGCTAATAGTAGAATCAGAAACTTAGGTGTCGTCCGATTTGAAACTTGTCAGATGGATGTGTGATGTATGCTACTTATTTTCATAGATATAAGTAGTATGTAACATCAATCACCATTTAATCGAGTTCATAGTTTTGTAAAGGATGTCATCATTTACAGATTAAATCAGTTTAGATTGATGATGAATAGTTCTCTGAATGTCACCTTACTATCAAACCGATACTATTCGAAGAGATTACTCCATCCTTTACTTAACATTATATCATTATTGATGTATTGAGTAACAAGAACTGTGTCCTAGAAAGTTTCACTAAGGACATCAAGAATGTCTTATACCTCGTTAGGTTTACTTTACAGGGAAATTAATAATAAATATTGTAAAAGTTACTTAATCTTAATGTAGTGTGGTGTTATCTGAGTTCGATGGAGCAAATTTGGATCTGTAGTTGTCATTTCTAACTTCATTACTGTAGCCTGCTTCATGTATAAATGATCTTTTCACTTATTCCACTGATTGTGTTCAGGTAATCTTGTTTAGAATTGGCTGTTTTTAGGTTTTTTGTGTTCATGTTAGACAACCATTGAAAACCTGGAAAAACTGGACGACCATTTCGTTCTGGTATGGGACTACTCAACAGTGCGCATCCACAATTCCACACAGTGGATTCGAACCTAGGACCTCCCGACTTGTGTGGGAGTGCTTAATCTCTAGACCAATGAGTCGGTATCCAACGGCGTTAATGTCTAACTCCAACCAACCTGCGATATTGCACGACCATCCTTCCGCGTATAGAATCGTCTATACGTCCTGATGAAGAGTCATATCCTATGAAGAAATGACAATCCATTGTTTCTAAAATTTTAATGGTGGTCTAATATTGATCGATTAATAATCCCAAACAGAACTCAACAATCTCTAAAACCCTTTACTGATAATTTGTTGTCTTTGTTCTTGTAACAATATCTAGGAAGATAGTCAATTGCTAACAAGATGATTTGAGTAAAACAACTGTCCAGTGCTTCAAAGTTCTTTTACCTAAAGTATATTTACCATCTGGTACTTTGGATTCAATGATTTCTGGATATACCGGCTATCTTACGAAAATGGATACACCGTGAACCTTCATAAACCAATGTTACACCACAAGGAATTAAACATACATGGTTGATCATTTTAAAAATATATTGGTCTAACGGTTGGTTGAGTATGATCAGAGGATTTCAGTGATAAAATCCCTTAAGCAGAAACTGTATTGGGCAAATTCAAATCATATAAGAACCTCTAGTTCTTTAAGATTATAGAGACGCTTTACTGATGAAATCACTATAGTACGAAGTGTTTATTAGTATTATTAGCTTGATTCAATATGATATGTTTTGTAAAATATATAATTCTTATAATAAAGCCTGGCGCGAGACTGATAGTTCCTGTGTTCGAATCCCACGGGGTGCGAGATCGTGGATGCACACTGCTGAGGAGTCCCATACTAGGACGAAACGGCCGTTCAGTGCTTCCAGGTTTTCCATGGTGGTCTATCTTCAACTGACTCATGATTTCAATCAAAACATTTCAACAAGTTGACGCTTCTTATTTCTTGATGGATCCTGAAGACACATGCTGAAATCTTGTAGTGATATTGAACAATCGTCTTGAATTGTGATTACGTTATAATTACGATACATGTTTAGACTTAACAGGAATCAAAGATAGTCCACCTTGTCAATTAGTGATAGGCAGTTACATGTTAGCAGTTTAGGAATCGTTATCTGAACAATGTTTATTCTTTTCGATGGATATTGCCAGTAACCACAATATCTTTGATTGGACTCTTTTGTAACTTGAACACCTAGAGGTCGTAACCCGATCGTTGTTGTTACCTTGACGTGGTTGTAGGGGTTGCCCATCGTGATGAAGCAACTGAGCTATACTGGCTGGAAGACCCGTTCGTCAAGGTCCTACCATGTCAGACAGGTCGGTTGAAGAGCGGTAAGACTAAAATCAACAAACCCAAGGCGAAGTCGTACTGCTGACAGTACAGTGGTGTGACAGCAGTAAGGTGTTTCCTTCAGACAACCAGCATGACAGCGATGCTGCCTTCCCACAAGGAGGAGTGGGGTTAGAAAAGGTCGACCCTAAAAATACACACCTCACCTTATCCCACAAATATCCGTCTCTGGAGGTAAGGTCTCAACAAGTACGGAGCTAACACAAAAATTACCCATAATAAGGTCGTGTGTGACCGACCTCAAGCAGTTGTCCCTTGGGCACTGCGGTCACGCTCTCAGGTCACTAAGACCACCTCTAACCCAGTCTCTTTTTCATGTACCTCCAGAAGAACCCTTTCACGGTGTGGGCAACCGGGAAGTGATAACCGCCTTCATACCTCTGACAGCACTCTTCAAAGTCGTAAACTTTTTACAAACACATCCGAATAGGTTATGAGACTAAATAGGCATAATGATATGTTAAAACAAACATAAAAAACAGATAACTTGTTGAAATATTTAGATAGTGGCAGGAGAGGGGGGAACTGGTAACTCAGATATTCAAACAAATCGCGTTACATATTGTTTCCAACTATTTGACATTCACACTACTTATTATCTATCCAGTTGTATACAACGTGTAGATGTCTATATGCATTTAATCCTTATCATCCAATGACATAATAAAAGTTTCCCCAATTAAGCTAATAAAATGAAGAAAACAACTAAATAAAACAAAACTGGCGTCCACCACAAAAGAAAACAGTGATGAATAATGTGCAATGAATTGTGGTTTCAAGCAAATTACAGGTTAAACATTTGATTTATATGTATACGTTATGTCAAAAGGGTTTTATGGTCTTAATGCTACTACTACCACCGCTACTACCACCACCACCACCACTACCACTACTACCACCACTACCACTACTACCACCACTACTACTAACACTACTACTACTACTACTGCTACTACTACTACTAACACTACTACTACTACTGCTACTACTACTACTACTGCTGCTACTACTACTACTAATACTAATACCAATACTACTACAACTACTACTATTAGTAGTAAGAATAATAATAATAATAAATCACATCTGTTTAAATTGTAAATGATTGGCGTCAATTCTATCTTGCGGCTAGCAGATGATTGACTTACAATCAAATCAGATTATATTAACCGACAATTTAGAAAAAAACTGTTCTACAATGAATATTTATAAGAGTTTATAAGATATAATTACCGATAAATCAGTTTAGTAATTAAAAAGCGTGAAAGGATAATTTGCTAAAACTGTATTCTTTATAGCCGGAGTTTGACAGCAGCTCCCCGGAAATCAGTCTTTGTTGTCCAACCTGCGTCTAATGTGTTTCACTGATGCAAAGCACCATCAAGTTGTATCTTTTCATTTCTGCAGCAACTTGGATGATTCTCCCAGTCTTTCACATTGTACGAATATACCATGTACCTAGATTAATGGTTGCTCTGGTTGTTTGAAGGAGCATCAACCTCGTGACTACCGAAGGAACTTAGCTTTCATTATGAGACGTCATCACTCTTCTAATGGAAGACCTTTTAACTCCCGGATCAGGGTTTAAATGGTTTGAGTTATTTTTTGGTTAGTGTATTTTTTTAGCAAGTTAGTTTTCTACAGGATAGGGTCGCTAATCCCATACTCAACCCTCCTCCTTTACCCGGGCTTGAGACCGGCATTAGCCCCAGAGGCGCTCCAGGCGGAGTTTTGGTAAAACTGTAGGATTAAAAAAAATTAACTCTTGGGCATTTCGGATGAAATTCATTATACAGTAAAGGATAATTTCTATTTGTATTGGTTGTTTAAATCTTTTCGTTGATTCTTGGGACTGTATTTGATCATTTTTTTGGGTATGTGTGTGTCCTATGTGAATTGACTCGATACTGTCAGTAAGTCACCAAGATTATAAGCAGATATGGATGGCGGCTAACAGTTGGATACTGGACGGTAGGTTTATCCTACTGGGTTCCAGTCCTGAAGTAAACATCAACACCGGGATGAAGGTAGATCCAACTGACGAGTCCGAAAATAGAACAAAACACTCATCCTGGATCCAACCGATTGCCACCATCTATCTTAACCGTGAAGGATGATTTGACTGTATTTCGTATTTTGACTTATTTCGGTAACAATTTGATCATCTAGCATTTAGAAAACACTCAGCCTCTTAGGGCCAACATGTTATGTGATTTTGGACAGTAAATAACATGTAGAGAAAGTATAGAATTCAGGGTTGAAACAGCTTTACACCTTAGTGTGAGCTGATTGAGGAATTCTATATTAAGTGGCATATTTTTTGTCAGATCAAGTCTAGAACTTCAGCAGATCAGTTGATGTTGTAGACACAATTTATTACTTGTACTACACTAGCAGATGTTGCTGATGTGTCAGCAAAGTATTGATATCTATACTGTAGAATAATGCGGTTAGAAATACTGCTGAATTTGTAAGCTTCCGTCGATGGGCTTAAAGAAATCATTGAAATTGAGAAAACTGTTGTTTACAAAAAGAAGTAAAGGATAGAAGAGATAAAATAGAGTAAGTACTTACTTATTTGTTTACGTCCGTTACTCCCAATGGAGCACAGACCATCAACCAGCATTCGCCAACTCACTCTATCTTGGGTTTTCCTTTCTAGTTCTATCAAATTGTTATTCATTCTTCTCATGTCTGTCTCCATTTTTCAGCGTAATGTGTTCTTTTTCTCCTTTGGCCTTGAGGAGTAGATTAGGAAAACAACACTTTTTTCAATCTTACTAGACGTGTTTTTTTCAATAGGAGATTGTATGTTGCAAGAATGTCATTTTCAAATAGAATAACGTTAATCTAAAAGCTTTTTTTAACTGTGAATGAAAGTTGGCCAAGAATTTACTAAAGATGTCAGATATTTGTAGCCCTCTATAGTTAAAAAGTACGTGGAATTTAGATCATTGTCAATAGCGCAAACAGAACGTTCTCTTAGCAATTTCTAAATAATCCAGATATCTCTGTATTACAGTTGGGACCGCTTTTGTCTGAATTTTATTCAGAATTGTCTGTACTCAATGAGCTGACTAATATAGTTGAAGTTAGACATTAACACCGTTGGATGCCGGACCACTCAGTGGTCTAGAGGTCAAGCGTTCACACGCGAGACCGACAGGTCCTGGGTTTGAATCTCGTGGGGAGAGATCGTGGGTGCGCGCTGCTGAGGAGTTCCATAATAGAACGAAACGGCCGGCCAGTTCTTTTGGGTTTTTCATGGAGGTCTAGCTTCAATTGACTCATGATCTTAACCATTGAAATGACTGATATACATATTAGTGTTTGGATCTTCAGGATTAATTAAGTCTATTCGGACATATATGCATTTTGTCCACATTGTCTCGATATTGACAATAAGTTACAAAGATTTCAAATAGATCAGATTGCATATACACCAACAAAGAAGATGGAGTGTTTGTAGTGGTTATCTGAACTTCGTAGCTATGTGGATTACGTGATGACATTTGAAACGATGGATACTGAGTTCGAGTTTCGAAGTGAACATTAACAACTGGAAGTTAGGCATATTTAGTTGATGAATCCAAAATAGGAATAAACGTACATTCTAAATTTCACTGCTTGTTACCGTTTATCTCTACTTAAAACTATAACATTTATCAAAAATCAAAATAGATTTTTAACAAATTGAGGGTTTTTGTGGAAATTGCAGTAATTTATTGGTTTAATTGACAAGTCGATCCAAACTAGACCAACATTGAAAATCTGAAAGCACTGAATAGTCGTTTCATCCTAGTATGTGACTCCTCAGTAATGCACATCTACAATCTCGCGCGCGGGACTCGAACCCATGACCTTAGAATGTACGTTCGATTTGAACTTTTTCCCAAATAAACAATTTTTGCTTCACATTTATAGATCACATTATGCACAATGTGAGTTTTGTTGAGTTTAATAAACAAATCAACCGACAAAAAGCTGAAAGCACTGGATGGTTGCTTCATTCTAGTATGGAACTCCTCAGCCTGAGTGCCCTGTTAATGGATAACGTAATAATACCACCAATCAGAGAGCAGCGAATTATCGATCGAACCAGTGACGCATAAAACACGTGCGAGCAGCCTAGAGTCTTGATTGGTCTTGCTTCCTGTCTAGCCCAGCCAGTTAAGTCCAGAACACCAATCTCAGCCTCTCTATTTCAAACATACGGGGTTTATATACCAACCAAACAAATCACATCGTACCATAAAACAGGAAACAACATTTGTACAAGATTTAGCCAAATGTGGCTGTGAGTGTGGGAGACTTTAATGAATAGACAGGGCATAATTCAAGAATGGTAAATCGTATAATAACAGTCTTTAGGTCAAAATAAAGCTTATAATTAGAGGCATATGAATTTGAATAGTTCAGTTACATAACAATTATACGATAAATATATACGTTTAGTATTGGTCCATAAATGGATCCTAAAGTTACCATTCATTATGCTTATCGGGACCTAACACCGCGAGAATATGTGACCTCGTACATACGAAATGAACCAAGGATTTTCAGTCTGTTGAACGCGGATGCTTAACCTTTAGATCAATGAGATGGCATATCATATGCAGGGTCTCGGATTCCCAATGCTGAGGAATCTCATACTAGGAAGAAACGGCTTTCCAGTACCGCAAGGTTTTTAATAATTGTCTAATGTTGATTAGCTCATGATATCATTGCAAAGAATCTGAATCGTGGATGCGCACTTCTGGGGAGTCCCACAATAGGACGAAACGACCGCCCAGTGCTTCCATGTTTTCAATGGTGGTCTAATATCAATCGATTCATGATCTCAGTCAAAAACTTTATATTCTCCACAACCCTATACTGACACATGGATGCTTAACCATAATATCAATGAGCTGGCATCTCACGTACAGGGTCGCGGATTCCCACTGCTGAGGATTCCCATACTAGGACGAAATGGCCATCCAATGCTCATGATATCACTACAAATGAATGATTTGATATTGATTCGTTAAAACAAAAACTGACTATATTCATAGAGACAATCCAGTTGTCATGTTAATTATATTTTACCTATAAAAATACTTATATATATGATTAGATATTATCTCATATGTTGTGTTAAAAGTTATTTCCGTAGTGATAAAACATTTCCTAATTTACAATTAATTATCTAATTCACAAAATTTTGGTCAGATTCTATTTGTTTTATGATCGTAATAGCGATCAATGCACTGAACAAGAAAATAATTATATATTACTGATATTGTAATAAGTAGTTTTTACATGGTATCCTAACAACTAATTTCAACCGTTTATTATTGTCACCATTCCATGGTTTCCATGGTTTTCTGAACGTCTCCAAATGCCCTGGTACGGCCGAGAGTGGGGAGGATCCGCAATCCCTCTCATATGGCCACGCGTACACAGTCTCTGCCAGGGGAGTACTATTAACTGCTTCCTCACATCATGGGTGTTGTTTACGATATTGAAAGGACGAAAAGAGAATATCGGGCAGGAGCTTTATCCGTATTGATGGACACGGTGAGTACACCTAGGGAAGTTGGAAAACCCTGATTCCAAACCAATGGTGTATATGGGCTCCAGTATCCTGAAAGAACAAATGGCGTATGAACCAATTATTGGTCCCCATAGGACTGTATCTTTTCACGATGCTCCACTGACTTGTGGGTCAGAGCTTTAGGTCGAAGGCTCGGAATATGGCCTCCTAAGAAAACCACCTGCTTTGGTCTGGGCACACGAGTATTATCACAGCCCACACACAAATAAAATGAAATAAATAAATAATAACGATTTTTGGACTGATTTTGTGATTATAGTTAATTTATGTTGTGAATTTGAAATCTCTAGTGTTTTTTTTAATGAGTCTACAATATAAGTCAACAAATGTAGGAGAAGACGATCGGTGTAGAAGCAGCCTCAGCAACAATAGGTCTCAACATACACAAAGGGAAAAGCAAGATTCTCCGACATAACACAACATGCATCAATGAAATCACACTTGACGGAGAAGATTTGGAAGATGTGAAAACATTTACATATCTGAGCAGCATCATTGATGAATA